TGTGCCCGTTGTCCCTTGTCCTATTGCTGCATACCACTGAAAAGAGTTTGGCCCCATCCTCCTGACACCCACCCTTCAGATATTTGTAGGCATTTATAAGGTCCCCTCGCAGCCTTCTCCAGGCTAAACAAGCCCAGCTCCCTCAGCCTTTCCTTGTAGGAGAGATGCTCCAGTCCTCTCACCATCCTTGTAGCCCTCCGCTGGACTGTCTCCAGCTCCTCATCTTTCCTGAACTGGGGAGCCCAGAATTGGACAGAGTACTCCAGATGGGGCCTCACTAGGGCAGTGTAGAGGGGAAGGAGAACCTCCCTCGACCTGCTGGCCACACTCCTCTTAATGCATCCCAGGATCCCGCTGGCCTTCTTGGCAACCAGGGCACACTGCTGGCTCATGGTCAACTTGTCATCCACCAGCACACCCAAGTCCCTTTCTGCAGAGCTGCTCTCCAGCAGGTCCGCCACGAGCCTGTACTGATGCATGGGGTTGTTCCTCCCCAGGTGCAGGACCATGCACTTGCCCTTGTTGAATGTCATCAGATTCCTCTTCATGCCCACCTGCCTTGCTGTCTGCAGGCGGCCGGGCTCTGCTGTCTGGCCATGCTTGTTTTTGAGCAAAGCCACTGCACATCCTCTGACACACCAGTCCTAGCATGCTCCTGAGCTACCTTCCCACTGCCTGAATTCACACGTATGTCCAAGTGCTGTCCTCTTGTCTGTCTGTACAATGCAGATGGACGCAAAATTGTTTTTGCTGTTTAACAGTGGGTGAATTAGTTTTTACTGGTAATGGTGTGCATGAGCTGCTGTGCTGCCTTGTTGCAGGGGCAGACAAGCACTGGGTCCTCTGAGGGCGGCTGCAGCTCACAACCCTCTGTCTCAGAAGCAGAGGGTCATTTCAAAGTGTGGGCTTTTGTTTCAGGAGACTGGAGCACATGTGCCAAGGTATCATGGTGATCATTTCTTCTGATTTCTTCTAGATGTTTGAATACCTTCTCCATTGTATAAATATACTTTGCAGAGCGTGAGCAGGGTTTAATAGTAGAAAATAGTAACTTTGGATAAAGGCTTTGGCATATAAGCACTTTTATGAAAAATTAAGAGATTAATTATTTTCAGAGTGCCAGATATGAAGCATGCAAATTACCAGATTGGGTTGTTAGGAAAAAAGCTTTCTAGCCTTTTGATACTGCATTGCATTCGTTGTATATCAGTGTGCAATTAAATGTTATGTTCTCTACCGCCTGCAATAATACACGAAGCAGTGAAAATTGGAAAGATATAATCAAACCCATTGATCCAGAAAAAAAGCCAATAACATAAGCCAGTGTTTTTAAAATTTGGGAGGCTGTATATACATAGGCAGAAGTAATTTTGTATTACTTTTGAATTATACTAAAAATAAAGAATTGAAACTCATGAGCAGGCAGCTGTGATTAAAGTTTTCTATAAGAAGAGTCCATAAGCTTCTGCCTCTTGCATCTGCTAGCTTGGGTACTCAATATTGAAAGACTAACTATTGAATGGATTTGTAGTGATCCAGTTACTTGTAGTGCTATCTTTATAACGAACATCAATTTCTTTTGTCTCTTAATCAGGATTTCTACCTGGCAAACAAAGGGAAGAAGGAAAGCAAAGAAATGAATGATAAAAACAAAGAGGCTTTACTGGAGGTAAGCCAACTTTCTAGGTTGATGCAAATGTCACCAAAACTCTGCCACTATCTGCATCTGCTCTGCAGCAACAGAGTTTAGTTCTTTGTGGGCAAATGTGTAACAACAGGAAGTTCTGTACTGGTTGTTGTCTTTGTGTCTAAGGTTTAATGTGTGGATTTTCCTCTGCATGTGCTGCTCACCAGTAAAAATGTAGGTTGTATCTCCTATCAGAGAAGTTAAACAATGAAGAATTATTTTGTTGTTATAGGCCCCTGTGCCATGGAACATTTTTACTTAGTGTTTCTATGAACAGTAATGCCATGATAACAATAAAAGCAGTGTTATGCAAATATGAATAAAAGAAGCAGCTGTACCACACCCTTAGGCCAGCCCTTGTGACTTTATATTGTTAGTAAGGTTGTTCAGTAGCAAATAATTATCTTTTGGGTTAGAAGTAGAGGTACTTCTCACTACCTCAAATTATTAGCTGTACTACAATGGGATAAGAACCTTTGCACTTTCCCAGAAACTGCA